TGATGGAATAAGAATTTGCATTTGATCATTAGTAACTTCTTCTAATGTATCATTACATAAATAATTAGCTAAAGCATTGATAAATGTTGATTTTCCAACACCTGTTTGTCCCATTAATAAAACATTAATATCAGTCGATGGATCACTATTTCTATTTGTTTTTATCGTGGATGCTTGATTTCTACTTGCCATATTTGATAGTTTCTATTAAATATAAAAACTATAGAATCTTTTTTGTTTTATTGTTGGCATAAGTTTTCGAAAAACAAATTTATCAAAATTTGTTTGGAATATCGAGTTTGTCACACTGATCATGAAATATCATTTATACAAGCGTCAAAAATGTAATGCTACAATGTGAAGCATCTTTTACCTATATAGAGATTTTAGAACCTATATCAGATTTTTTACTTGTTTCTTGCATATTCTAACTGCATAAACGCCGTTAAAAGTTCCTCGACAACGGGTACGACAACAGATTAGTAATTAAAAGTGTCTCTCGTCTAAGATTACCTAGTGGACTTTTTAGTTTGAAGTCAAATGAGACTGTGCCACTTAGGGATAAAATTTCATGTTGCATCTAATTTTGGTATTGAACAGATCAATAAAAGTCGACATTATATTGAAAATTATGATATACCAGCCAAAATAGCCTGTTTTCATGATTAGTCATCGACTTTTTCACGTTTTCAATCAATGTTAGTGAACTATGTTTTTTTTGAGCATTTACGTCTCGAACATCCATAGAGTTTGCTACGATGGCGGCCGAAAATTTCCAGCCACAATTAATGTGAAAAATCCAGTTTCATTGACACTGAGATAACTTAGAAAAAAATATTTTCATTTTGACAACAATTTCTTTTGTAATGCAAGAATCATGACAACTTTTCATTGACAAAATCTAAGTTTAGGTGTGGAATATTCAAGTTTTCCTGGGATCATATGGCATTTGTCAAAAAGTGCAATAAAAGTAGTGATGACTTCAGAAGAAAAAGTTATCGCCATCATTCTTTTATTGACAATATACTCTATTGATAAAAATAATTTTGGTCGAATATCTAATTAAGCTTTCTACGCAAAGTTCCAACACAAATGCTCAGAAAAAGAGTTCAGTTATATCGATTGATAACGCAAAAAAGACGATGACTGACGAGGAACTTAGCATAGTTTTGCTGGTATGACATAATGTTCGACATGATTGCTAGATTTTATTGATCTTTTTAATGGTTAAATTGGATACAGCCTGAAAAATTATTTCCAACTGACGCAGTCTCACTTAACTCTGAAATTGTATAGTTCACTAGGTACAACTTGAACGAAGGACACTTACACGTTCTATACTGTCATCCTACCCGTATTTCTCAATTAAAAAGCATTTAAGTTTTTCTGATGATGATCTTCATTGAGGCATATGCTCATAGAACTTTGAAAGTAGATCGGCGTAGCAAACTTGTTATATCTACCTAAGTTTGACATTTTTTTCAAAAAGCTATGAAGAAGAAGTGGGGAAAACTGTCAAGAAGCCCTACAATTTCAAAGAAAATAATTATGCTCGACAAGCGGCCCATATTGATCTTGTTACCTTCATATGGCGATTTCTTGATAACATTTGAAAGAGAAAACTGTCTTTAAAGCCAATAATCCTTTTATAATAGTTTTTTTTCTAAGAATATGGAATAATTTGAAAATTATAACAATTTAGTTCCTTTTACTATTAGAATAATTGTGTTCTTGATATTCTTGTCAACTCAGTTTCTTTACCTGTCTTTACTTCGTTTTTTTACTTCAGAACAATATGAAAAAAACACGCTGTTGGTGTGTTTGTGTGCTTTACGTCCAAAAAAAACACTAAGCTATCAAAGTATGAGTGTTACAAGTCAACAGAAAAAAAAACTCTTTCGAGACTTGTTTTTATCAATAATTACTCTGAAAGAAAAGGAAGAGAAAAGTGGATTTCTCCAAACAAAACTTTTTGATGATGCGGGTGTGGGTGAGGGTGTGGGTGTGGGTTCGTGTGGGTGTGGGTGGTTGGGTGTGGGTGTGGATGGGAGTGTGTGGGGTGTGGGTGTGAGTGTTCATTACTGTACAAAAGAATTCCACCCACACCCACCACATACCCCCACACCCACCACATACCCCCACACCCTTTTAATTCGTTTGCTTGAAAATTTAACAAAAGAATGTCTTGGCTTTGCTGAGGTTGTTTATGAACATGTCGTGGAAACTACTATTTATTGAGTTTATTTTTGTATTTGAAATGTTTGTTAGGGTGAAGGAAAATTTACTTTTGTTGAAGGTTATAAAAATTTCAAATCAGTAACAATTTTACTCAAAGGTTTAACAAAATACTTATTAAATCAATTGAAAGATGTTCTTTGCGATGGATTTCGCTTAATAGCAAATGCAACTGAAGATGATTAGTTTTATTTCTAGATTTATCAGTTGTTTATGTGAAACACGATCTAAAGAGAGCGGGACGTGGTGTTCCACATCTTAATCCCGCAAGGATTGCACTAATAGCTTTTTGTTTAGGTTGTATTATTCCTGGTGATGGCGCTTTTGAAATAGTTGCTCATCAAGTACTTACTCAATATAAGAAACAAGTAAAAGATCGTGCATGTTTAGGTGTTCAAGCATTTGCTGAATCATTATTAATTATTTCAAAGGCTATTACTCAAAATACTGGACATAATCAACAAGAAACAATTGTTAAATTTCAACAAGACTATGCAACATCAAATTATCAGTTGGCATCGATATTACAACAGGTAAATAGTTTTCTAAATAATAAGAATAAGTATTAGTCTTATTAATTGTTCGAAACAAAGAAACCAAATGATGTTTTACTAAACGTATAACAAGTGAAAAGTAACTTGACAATATGTTATTGAAAAAACAAAGCAAACTATTCTAGTTATTCTGTTTTATTATCTGATGTTTTAGTCTTTGCTAACGATGGTACCGATGCTCCGTTTATCTTTTTTGCTCTTTCTAATAAATAATCAAATGTCCAATAATGTCAGTGAAGTTGAGAAGGAATTGAAAGTGCTTGAACACATTGCATTGTTTCTCCATATGATGGAATATCAATCTGATGAATAGCACTAAATTCAAATTTTCCTTTTTGTTTTGTTTTTGATATTAATGGTCTACGTGTTATATCAAAATGACAATCACCCATTCGATAAACAGATAAACTTGTTTGAGTATCTAATGGTGACATCAAACGAAGCATATGAGGAATTTGTGCAAGTTTAAATCTATCATATGCAAACATTTCTTCAGCTACACTTTGTGCTATATCTAAACATTCAAAACGAAGATCACGATCACGTTATGTATAGGCTTGAATTGATAAACAACTAAAATCATCACGACTTGGTTGCCATCTCCTTAAATGTATCAAATAAAATCAAGATTTATTATAATTAAATCTAAATCAAATGTTACCAAGATTAAGTTTGACATCATAAGCAAATGATCCATATTGAAATTGTGGTGGTGAAAATGAACAAAGTTCAACATTATAATTTGATTTAAAAGCTATTTCAAGTATATAATCCAATAATAAATGAACATGTTCTCCAATAAGCACGATTTTGTTCTTCACAATTTTCTTCCATAAAATGAAGAAATTTTAATTTACAATCATGTTCTAATGGACGATTCATATCCCATATATGTTCATCATCAATTAAAGCTAAACAAGATTGATCAACTAAACCTGATGATAAATGTTGAGCACAATGATACGGTGTTAATAAATTTTTATTCATAATAAATTACAAAAAAAAACAATAAACTAAGATCATGTAATGGTTAAGGAGGATATATTGAAAATTCATTTCTTTACATATGATATGCTGTCTAAACAAAATAGAAAATTCTTTACAAGTTATTTTTCATCGATATTTTCATGTAAAATAGCAATTGATACTTCGGTGGGTGTGGGGTGTGAGTATACTGGTGACAGAAGAAAAGATACACATCCACACCTACACTCTCAAGATTAAATCGATATTCTGATGTGTGAGTGAATCGTAAATGAAGTTTAGAGAAAAGAAAAGTTTGTCTAGTGGTTTATAAGCTATCGAATGCTCGTCCGATCTGAACTGACACCTTTTTTCTTTTTTTTTCTGCCGTTATTGAGGAAAATGATGCTGTTGTCGACAAGTTTATTTTCAATCGGAAAAGATACTCAGTTTTGACAAAGCGAAAACAATAAAATATATTAAGGAGAAAACAGCGAGACAATTAGATGTTTTTCTTTCAAAATGAAAAAAAAACAAGCTTGAATAATATATTCTTTCGTCTCTTCTTGCCAATAATTGGTTGATTATTATTATTATTCGATGATGAATCAATTCGATCTAATTCATCTATTGTTGCATTTACATATTCTCAAATTATTTTACCATATTGTCTTACTGTTGTATGATGTTTATCTTCATATATTTTACTTATTGTTTCAGTTTTGTTATTTTCATTTTGATTTTATGATTATTGTATTTGTTTTTCAATAAAGCATCTTCCCGATGGTGTTGTTTCTCATTTCATTGTTATAATTATAAAAGTTCTATAGTAGAGAAACAGGAGAAAAGTCGATCGAAATCAAAGAAGATTTTTTCAATTAGAAAAAATAAACCATTGAATATTCATTCTTATTTTTGTGTACTCAAAAAGTGAGTACACTCTAGAATCGGTCAGTGTGTCCGTCCGGCCGGCCGTTAACACGATAAATTTTGAAAGGAGAGTCCGATCGCGATGAAATTTTCTACACAGTTCAGTCTCAACAATATTTCGGTCGAGTTCGAAGATGAGAACAATTTGCCGAGCCGCTCCTGAGTTATTGCCAAAAATACTCATTTTGTCCCTATGGCTTCCTATAGGAAAATCGAGGGTGTGGGTTGGTGCGGGGTGTGGGGAGTGTGGGTGTGGGAGTGGGTGTGTGTGTGGATGTGGGGAGTGTGTGTGTGGGTGTGGGGAGTGTGGGTGTGGGGAGTGTGGGTGTGGGAGTGGGTGTGGGTGTGGGTGTGTGGGTATGGGGTGTGGGTGTGGGTGTGTGGGTGTGTGGGTGTGGGTGGGTGTGGGTGTGGGTGGGTGTGGATGGGTGTGGGTGTGTGGGTGTGTGGGTGTGGGTGTGGGTGGGTGTGGGTGTGAGTGTGGCTTATAT